ACTGATATAGGCCCTCTCTACTCAAAATGTGTGGTTTTTGTTGGTATGCTGTTTTGCTTTTGAGACAAAGTCTCACTAGGTAGCCTAGGATGACCTTGAACTCACGATCCTCCTTTCTCGTGAGTGCTGGGTTTGTAGTCATGTGCCATCGCACTGGACTTCTGATAGACTTCATTTTAATAAGGACTTAAGGTCAGTTAAGAGATATCTTCATTATCATATTTCCTTCCCCTATTGGAAAGAAACTACTTTCTCCCTAGAACATTTCTCATAATGTCTCTCATATCTTCTGTGTAAGTTTCTATTTTTATTTTACTCCATGAGACCTTTAATCAACTTTATCTTCGAGTTTCCAGTTCTTTTGTGGTCTTCTCTACCTACATTCTCATCATTTTACTTAACCACTTGTTCATAAATATTTCATTTTCTCCATTTCCTTGCAGCTAAGTTTGTCCATGATGACTAAGTTCTGGGTGGCCAGTGGAAATGCCAAGTTCTAAGTGAAACATAGTTCTTTTTTTTTTTTTTTTTTTTTTTTTTTTTTTGGTTTTTCGAGACAGGGTTTCTCTGTGGCTTTGGAGGCTGTCCTGGAACTAGCTCTTGTAGACCAGGCTGGTCTCGAACTTACAGAGATTGCCTGCCTCTGCCTCCCAAGTGCTGAGATTAAAGGCGTGCACCACCAACGCCCGGCCTGAAACATAGTTCTTAAAGACTCTCTCTCTCTCTCTCTCTCTCTCTCTCTCTCTCTCTCTCTCTCTCTCTCTCTCTCTCTCTCTCTCCTCCCTCCCTCCCTCCCTCCCTCCCTCCCTCCCTCCCTCCCTCCCTCCCTCCCTCCCTCCCTCTCTCTCTCTCTCTCTGTCTCTCTCTCTGTCTCTCTCTCTCTGTCTCTCACTCAAGAGTTCCAGGGCAGCCAGGGCTACAGAAAAACCCTGCCTCAAAAAAACGTAGACAGACAGACAGATCTTCTAAAAAGGACTTAAGGTAATAGATTCCATGTACCCATGAAAACAGAGGGCCAACATAAGGCAATTGTTCTAGCTTGCTTCCTGTTGCTGTGATAAAATATCATGACCAGGGCTGGAGAGATGACTCAGAGGTTAAGAGCACTGGCTATTTTCACAGAGGACCTGGGTTCAATTCCCAGTACCTACATGGCAGCTCACAGCTGTTTATAATTCCAGTTCCAAGAGTGGGAGATACCTTCAAAACTCTGAGGGTGGATTCTTCTGAGCTACAAATCTGTATTCAACTATTGACCAGTGCATTGTGGGAGTGGAATAAAGACATTTACCAAAAAGAGATCTGAACATTTTCCAAGAGATCTGAAGCCTTCTTCTGGCCTCTAAAGGCACTTCACTCAGGTGGTGCACAGACACAGATGTAACAAAACACCCATACACATAAAATAAGCAGATAAGAGCACCATGCCCAAAAGCAATTTAGGAGAGGAAAGGATTCATTTGGCTTACACGTCAGATCAAAGTCCATCACTGAGGGAAGTTGGAGCAGGAATTCAAGCAAGAACTTAAGTACAAACAGAGGAATACTGCTTACTATTTCACTGGCAACTTCATGCTCAGCTAGATTTCTTATAGAACCCAGGACCACTTGATCAGGGAACAGTGCTGTCCACAGTAGACTGAACCCTCCTATGTCGATTAGCAACTGAGACAATCCTCCACAGATATACTCACAGGTCTATTTGATTTTGACAAGTCCTTCAATATCCCTTCTCAGGTGACTTTAGGCCATGTCAAGTTGACAGTTAAAGCTAACTAGGATAGGACCTGAGTGTGCATGGATTTTGTGCATGGATCTACAGTTAGGGGTCAAATGAAGCCTTAAACTTGAGTAAGCGATCTTCAATGGATTGAATACCTACCTACCCACACAGCTTCATAATGAATGAGGCCACATATCAGAGCTTCTGGAGATGGTCATCTTAGTGGCCCTTTCCCATTTTTCACTTCATTACTTAATTTATGTCTCTGTGTGCAATGATGTCTTCACAGGGCTCTGGAACTAACAATTCTGCTAAAAATTGTGCCTCGTGCATTCATTTAGAGTAGTATTTGGGGGTATTGGTATTTTCCAAGTATTTTTTTTTGGTTTTTCGAGACAGGGTTTCTCTGTGGCTTTGGAGGCTGTCCTGGAACTCGCTTGGTAGTCCAGGCTGGTCTCGAACTCACAGAGATCCGCCTGCCTCTGCCTCCCGAGTGCTGGGATTAAAGGCGTGTGCCACCAACGCCCGGCCTTCCAAGTATCTTTTAAAATATGCATTAAGTGTTTACTGCATGTATGTATGTGTACCAGATGTGTGCCTGGTGCCTAAGGTCAGAAGTGGACATCAGAACCACTGGAACTGGAGATACAGACATTAGTAAATCACCATGTGGGAACCAAACCTGTAACAATTTCTCTTAACCTCTGGGCTGCCTCTCCAGTTCTTCGGGTAGTATTTTTGAACAGTAGTACAATTTATGTACACAGAAACTCTGGCTGAGGCATAAGAGCAAGACTTTGAGGTCAGACCATTTTCTTTTGTCCTGTCTTCCAGGACAGAAGTTAGAATTTCTACTAGGCAATTGTAAATATAATTCTGGGTAGATAAAATGGAAGTAGACATATTTGTTAAGATTCAGCTCCTAGGGGCTGCAGAGATGGCTCAGCCATTTAGGGAACATATTGCTCCTGGGGAAGACCTGAGTTCAGCTCCAGAGGAATCCAATGCCTTTGGCCTCCCTGGGCACCGACACTCATGTGTGCCTACTTCCACACAGGCACACTCGTACACGTCTGGACCATCAAGAAGCGCAGAGGGGAAAGGTGCCTGCCACCAAGTCTAACCATTTGAGTTGGAGAGGATCCTCAGGACCCACGTGAGAGAGGACAGAACTGATGCCTACAAGTTGTCCTCTGACCTCTGACCTCCACACACATTAATAAATACATACACATACAGATGAATGTGCACATTTAAAAAAATCCACGCCTTAGAAGTAGGTTAGGTTCTCCAAAAGGTGAGAAAAAAGAATGGGTAATAGACTTGGAGTCCCTAGAGGGATCAATCAGGGGAGGAGATTCACTGAGGAGGAAAAGTTAATGATAGATGAATTAATCCAATTATCTCCATTATCTTTATCCACTCCTTTACTAAGCCTATACTTTGTGTGTGTGTGTGTGTTTTATTTAATTCTGTCTGCATATATGCTTGCACACCTGAAGATCTCGTTATAGATGGCTGTGAGCCACCGTGTGGTTGCTGGGAATTCAACTCATGATCTCTGGGAGAACAGCTAGTGCTCTTGATCTCTGAGCTACCCCCACCCCACCCCACCCCCGCTAAAATCTGTTTCTTTAATTTTACTTTAGAGTGCTCTGCACGTATATCTGCATACCAGAAGAGGGCATCAGATCTGTGAGCCACCATGTGGGTTCTGGGAATTTTGAACCCAGTACCTCTGGAAGAGCAGCTCTTAACCTCTGAGCCATCTCTCCAACCCCGTGTTGTGGTTTTAATTAGCATAGTAGTAGTTAAGAGAATACTATTAAGCGTTCAGTTTTTTTAAATATATGAAGATGTAAAGACAGTCCCACTTTTATAAAAAGCTTTATATGTGCACGAGTGTTTTAGCTGTTGTGTACTATGTGCATGCAGTACCTTTGGAGGCCAGAAGAGGGAGTCCGATCCCTGGAGCTGAAGTTAAAGGCATATGTGAGCCACTATGTGGGTACTGGAAATTGAATCCTTGACTTATTGACGTACAGCAAATGCTCTTAACTGCTGTTCCACCACCTCCTGTCACATGAATCCATTTTCTTTTTATGAACGTAACTCAAGGTTTGGACATCGCCAATCCAAAGAACAGACAAGATTTTATTGTCTGTGGATTGCCTTGTTTTTCTGAGAACTGGTCGCACAATGTAGCTCAGGCTGGCCCAGATTTTTGAACCTCCTGCTTCAGCCTCGAGCCTGCTGGGACTGAAGAAGTCAAGTTTGTGTCTAAAAATGTCACTCTCTGTTCTTCCAAGTAGTCCCATTTGGGACCTAACAAGGAGGCAAATCCTTGCTCTGTAGCTCTTAAAACTCTTGCTGGTAGACAGCGAGGAAACCCCTTAGCCGCCTCCTTCTTCCTAGTTACCAAAACAGGAGAGAATTGGCTGCCATCTTAGCCAATGGACGAAGCAGGAGCAGAGTCGTTGTAAACAAACCGGGTGTCGCTGTGCTCCGGCTCCTCCTCCATGCGGGGATGATTCATCCTTGGGCTGAAATCTAGGCGTGACCAGTGCTTCTTCAACCAATCAGAGTTGGTGGTCTCCAGTGAGGGCGGAGCGAATGGACAGGTGTTAAGACCAATCACAAGCTGGAACTTCTGAAAGAAGTGGGCGGGCATTGTTTCACGTTTAGACCAATCGAAACCAGGTAAGTGAGCGGCATTCCCTGATGTCCAATAGGTGGATGGGGCGGTGTCCAGCAGCCAATGACTGGCTCCAGGGGGCGGGGCGAGACGCTTGTATGCGGCCGAGGTAGCTCGAGCGTTTGTGCGCCGCGACTCGCGCTCGGAGGAGGCGGCGCTGTGGTGTGATACGGACCTCGGGGCGGCGTTGTCCGCGCGGCCAGGTGGGTTCGGGCGTCGGGGCTGGACCCTCGGGCCGTCCGGGGATGCGCACAGCCCCGCTCCTTTTGGGCCGCCCGGGAGCGCGCAATGCCCCTCTTCCTCTCTCCATGGGCTGTCCGAGAACACGCAAAGCCCCTTTCCCGGTTCGGCCCGGGCCCAGGCCGTCCCGACGCTCTAGCGTTCTCCGGCCAGCTCCTCTCGCCTCATCCTATTTCACCATCCTTGCTATGACCTCCCGACTCTGGCCGCTTCTCTCTCCTGCCTTCTGCGACTGCCCCCTCAACCTCGGGTTTTCAGCCTCTTTTGCCCTGGAAACTAACATCTCTCACTTTGCTTCTTGTAGGCACCTGGAAGGGTGAAGGCGACAGTGGCAGATGACGACGCTGAACACAGGCTCTGCAAGGTTCGGAACTGGAATGGGCTTGCTTAAACTATTTCTGCCACCCTCCCCTTTACATGCCATTTGATCACTCCCCTCTTTTAGAATCTTTGTGCCCAGAAAGTGCTTTTGCTCAAAACTGCTGAATGTGAAGGTGAAAAAAAAAAAAAAAAAAAAAAGGCTTCCCAGCAGCAACCAATTTGAAGTCTGTGGTGCAGATGGAACTGAATTCTATTTGACACGGCTAGCCAAAGCTTGATTTACTCTAAGGAAGGGTCTGGGCATCCCGTACAGCTGTAAGACATAAGTGATTATCACATACAGCCTCTGAGTGAATTACGACAGCTCAGAGACAATGTGCAGCTGTGTCTTTTTAGAGACTTTGTTTACACCTTCATAGGATGGCAGGGTTTGGCTTCCGGTACTAGTTCTAGCCATATGTTTCTAGAAGGCCTTTTACACTGCTTCATACCCAAATAAAATTGTGCCAGACATTTACTGGGAAGAAATTAGCTCATCACTCATAATTTTGACTGAGTTTTAGAAATTGAAGAATACTGGACAGTGAGGGTTATATTTTGGAAGCAGGAGGAAATTGGATATTGGAATAAGAGTCCAGTACTTTGGTCAGAGAGGGAGGGAAAATGCGAATATATATAAAACTGCACTGTTCTCATGTCATTTTCATGACTATATTTGGGGTCATTTTTCTTAGTTCTCAAAAGAGAACAGTAAGCTATGAATTTAGCATCAGATTTACTGTGTTTTGGAGTTTGTAAGCTTTTGTGGAAAATCCTTACTGTTTTTATCTGGCTTGTATCCAGATAAGTTCAATATGATTCCTTGTGTTTTGCTGAGGTAAGAGTTTAATCTTAATAGAGAAAGAAGTAAGTCTATTCAAGTGAGTTAAAAGCAGTCTTCTGAGGTGACAACATTGTCTCATAGGCCATATGTTTGAGCTGGAAAGAGCAGGATCTTTAAAACTGTTGTAATTCATGTTGATTATAGCAGTTGTCAAAGTCACAGGCAAACTGCAGATCTCTGAGTTGGTCACTATTATAAATTGCTGTAAGCCTACAGTTGAAAACCAAGTGTATGTATCATGTCTTTGGATAAATCTGTACTTAGTTATTACTTATTTAGAGATTTAGGTGGTAACTTTGGCTTCCATACCAGAGATCTGACCTTGATCATAGAGTTTAGTAGAGAGACCTGTAGGTCAAGGATTAAATGCACAGAGGGTAGAAGCCCTATTCCTTGTTCCATCCTCATTGCTCTAGACTTTCTGAAGTGTATTTCCTTAACCTACATAACCCATGTAGATCATAATCTTAAATCCTGAAAACCATTTGTCTTGCTAGATTTTTCCCTATATTTTACATAACAGGGAATGATTTTTCAGAAGTGTGATTTGTCCATTAATAGGTGCTAGAGTTTATAGCACAAAACTACCCTCTACTGCCTCTGTCCTCTGGCCGTCTCTTCGTGAGCACCAAACCAAGAAGGTCCAAACTTGCCTTACTTACCTTAGTTTGGGACAAACACAAAGAACAATAGGCATGTACTGCTATCTACATAATCCAGGTATTTGAGGCAAATACCTGACAAAAGCAGCTTAAAGAAAGTAGGATTTGTTCTGGCTCACAGATTGAGGGGTATAGTCCATCATAGGAGCTGGAGGTGGAAGGAGCTGGTACCATTGCATTCATAGTAAGCAAAGAGACGAATGCTCAGCTCACTTTTTGTTTTATTTTGTTCGTTTTTTGGCTGGCCTCGAACTCACAAAGATCTACCTGTCTCTGCCTCCTGGGAGGTGTGCGCTACCACCACTCAGCTCAGCTCACTTGTTTTTTCTTCCCTAGTTAAGGATGCTGCTGCTCACATTCAGATTGTTCGCTTTCTGTGACGACCCTAAATCTAGCAAGGTAACAGTGAATGACTTCAAAGGGAGCACTACTATTAGTTTGGGAATTACATGCAAATTGTAGCAAGTAAAAAGATTTGCACATAGAATTGTACTTGTGAGTGATCCCTAGTCCTCATTTCATGGTGTTCCCTCCCTCCAAATCCATCTAGAATGATCCTTTTGTGTACTGGGAAATTTGCTCACTTATTTATTCATTCAACAAATATTTATTAAGCACGTACTATAAGCTGTACTCTACTTTAGATGATAGCAAATGAGCTATAGATTAAGGTTTGGGTCTTGTATTTGAGTTAGAAAAATAACTAAGGCTTTCGTAGGTTGAAATTAGAGATTATTTTATCTGGTTGAATACCAAATGTACTGCTTCAAAGCCCAAGAAGACTTCTAGACCACTTCTACTCTTTTTCATATTTTTGAGCCTTTTTCCAATAGCCTGTATCTCTGTGTGTTCCTGCACATGGGGGTGGGGGAAGGCAATATGTATGTGTGCCTGTGAGTATGAAGACCAGAGGTCAACCTCGGGTGTTCCTTAGTACTCGGACACCTTCTTTTGTGTGGGGAGGAAGTGTAGGATCTCTTGCTAGCTTGAAACTCACCAATTACAGTAGGTAGTCTTGCCAGCATTTGCCAGGGATCTATCCAACTGCCCTGTCAGAGCTGGTGCTACAATATTACACCACCATGCTTGCCTATTTTAGGCGGTTTCTGGAGACCGATATCAGGTCTTTATGTTTCTAAGATGAGTACTTTACTACCTAAGCCATCTCCTCATTTGTGGAATATAGTGCTGACCTGTTCTTTGAAATCCTGATCTGCAGTGTACTAAGTGAACAGCTGTGGTACAACTTGGACTTTTGAACCTGTGTCCTAATTTCAAGATTGATGATGTGTAGACACTTTTACATTTCTTTTTTTTTTTTTTTCCGAGACAGGGTTTCCCTGTATTGTTTTGGAGGCTGCCCTGGAACTCACTCTGTAGACCAGGCTGGTCTTGAACTCACAGAGATCTGCCTGCCTCTGCCTCCTGAGTGCTGGGATTAAAGGTGTGTGCATCCATATTGTTTAGACTTTAGTAGCTTTCAAAACCATATAGATTAGTGGTTCTCAGCTTTCCTGCTGTTACCTTTAATATAGTTCCTTATTGTTGTGACTCCCAATCATAAAATTATTTTTGTTGTTACTTCAAAACTGAAAAATTGCTATTGTTATGGATCAAAATGTAAAATTCTGATATGCAGGATATCTAATATGTGACCTCTGTGACAAGAGTCATTTGACGTCCTAAGGGGTTGTGACCCACACGTTGAGAATCACTGATATAGAGCAACAACTTGGCAATATTTAAGATACTATTTTAGTTCTGGATACCCACCTTCTCATGCTTTGTCTACCCAACTTTTTTCCCCCAAAGGAAACTACCTGATCTTTCATCTTCTAAAGTGGAAGAGTGCTATTTGGCAGAATTTTGAGTCAAGCAAGGTTCTTGGTTCCTATGTGTCATCTTTAACTGAGGTACTGAGTCCTGGCCTGGTTTCTTGTAGAAAAAAGGGGTTGGCTTCATGTGTCATCTGTCTTACAAACTAGTATATTTGAATAGGATTCTGGAGACAGTTACTTTTCTTCAGAGTAACTGAGGAGTCCTAGGATTTTGTAGGCTTAATCTTTAGACACTATCTTACATGATAATAGGTACTGTCAGATAAAGCATCTAGCAAAATGGTTGACACATGTCAAATATTCAATACCTCTTTCTCCTGGTGCTGCATCTAGTTGTATTGTGGTAGAATTACTTGTTCATATGGCTAGCTTCCTTACTACACACTGGGAGCTCCATGATACCAGGTTCCACAGATCCATGCTTCTATCCTTGATGCTTGGTTGAGAACCTGATACATGGCAACTGTTGCACAGCTATCTGATCTGGGGACTTCTCAATTCCTCCTGAAAGGGAGCTGGTGGGGAGCGGGGTTACAGGCTTCCTAGAGAAAGTAGTAAGTTGATTCTCACACACGCACACGCACACTCAGCCACCTCTCCCAATCTTTTCTTCTTCAGCACATAGACCATCATTCTTCTCTGCTACTTCACAGAGTACCATGATTTACATAGCCGTTTCCCTTTGGTGGATAACATTGTGCTATTACAAACAGTCACACACCCAGTTCATGCTCATATACCCTGATGAAGCCTCTGGAATAGTTCTGATTAGATCCCCAGCTGATTACATGTTTATTCCACTAAAAGTTAGCCCCATTCCTAATTCTTATTACATAGAAACATGAAGCAAGACTTCTTTGGGCAAAGCTTGTGTACACTTAAGGGATGTATGTGTATCTCATCAAAATAACTAAACAACACCAAAGATTTACCCATTTCTATTTTTAAAACTCATATCTGTATGTATACACATGAACATACACAGCAAGTATAAAGTAATAACTATCTGAGGAAGGTGACTATGTAGTGCTCTGTAGGCACCCATCATTATGTCTATCCTAATTTTTTTGTCCTTAGCAGTTTTTACAGCAGTATGTGCTGTTTCTGAACTATAAAATTTTAGTTGAAAATATCAATTCAAATAAAGTAGGACCCACTCCTCTCATTTGCATGTCTGTATGGTGCCTCTGTGCTCAAAGAGCACTTCTCAGAAAACACCCCTCAGCAATCTGCATGTCACTACTCCTTTCCTTTAATTTAGACTGCATTTTACTCCTGTCTCTTACTTCACATTACATGGTAAATAGTTGCTGTCTATCTGTCTCTTTACTGGCTGTGAGCTCTATGAGAGTGTGTTTCGTTACATTTTCAGCACTTACAGTGTATGATACATGGGAGATTCATAGGTAATGAGTGAGTAAATGGTACTGTTACACACTGCAGAATTGAATGCCTGCATTAGTAAAATTGTCATAGATACTTCAGCCCCAGCCAGAGAGTTTTACATTCTCCCCCTAAAACTTGTATCTGTTGTAAGTTTCTGTGGTCATGGTTAATTCATTTGTACTGTGCCCTCTGGCCAAGCCATTTGCAGTTTTTTGTTTTTGTTTTTTTTTTTTCTTGAGTCAATTTTTATTGGTTACTTTTTATTTTTATTGTGATTTTTTTCAATCTGCCAGGCATGCTCGGGAAACTTCATCTTTTCACATCTGTGCCTCCTGCACCTGCTAGTCTCCTTGAAATGCTGATTTGAGGTTTTGTCTATTTAGAAAACATTCCAGAAATAAGCTTGCGGGCTGAGTACAGATCAGTGCTAGAGCCTACTTTCTGTGTTTTTGAAGTGGTTTGTCATTGCAGGAAATCCTGAAATCCCTTTAAAACTAAAAATGGAACTAGAGGTGGCTCAGTGGTTGAGAGCACTGGGTGCTTTTCAGAGGACCTGGGTTCAATTCCAAGCACCCATGTTGTATCACACAAATGTCAGTAACTCCAGTTTCAGGGTATCTAATGCCCTCCTCTATGGGCATCAGCCATGCACATGATACACAGATGTATATGCAGTTATAACATGTACACATATAAAAATAAATGAATATTTTTAAAAAGGAAAGAAAAAGTGGAAAATGAAACCAATGTCAGGCCTGACATGGAAGCCGAAAACTGGAGACATTAAGGAACACATATGTTCTTGTGCATATGCACACTGCATAAGTGTGTCATGTTTAGATACATAGATATTGTAAATACTGTATACATGTTTAAGTCTTTGTTTGTGGCATGTTTTGAGATAGTCTTATGTAGCTCAGGCTTACCTGGAACTTTGTGTAACTAACATGTGCTAGGATTTTTATTGTTTGCCAGAGAAGATGGTACTGTCTGAACTGAGGCTGTTTCAGTGAGGAGAGGGGAGCTCTGGAAGCCACACCTATGTAGAGGAGTTTTGCTTCAGTGAGTTTTCCTGACTTGTCAGCTCTCTAATGTCTACTTTTCTTCTCTCAGTCTCCCTTTTCAAATTGAGCAGCTAGGTCAACATGGACTGTTTGGAGAAGTACACACAGTGGTCTAGTGCTTTCCTGAGAGAATACATGCTTATTTTGTCCCCTTACTCCAGAGAAAAGTTTGTATAAGACAAGGGAAGGGAGAATTAGATTCTAGGCTAGCCACTATTATGAGGTCTGGCATCACATCAGAAAAAAAATGCATGCATTTTCTAAAAAAGAGTATAGGTTTCCAGGGTGTCTCGCCAAATTATCTGAGTTGTAATCTTTTTTTTAAAGATTTTTATTTATTATGCATACAGTGTTCTACGTGCATGTTTGCCTGCACACCAGAAGAGAGCACCAGATCTCATTGTAGATGGTTGTAAAGCCACCATGTAGTTGCTGGGAATTGAACTCATGACCTCTGGAAGTGCTCTAAACCTCTGAGCCATCTCTCCAGCCCCTGAGTTGTAATCTCTTAAGGTGGAGCCTCAGAGTCTACATTTTTAGAAACTTCAGTAATTGTGTAAGTGTGCCTGTATGTGTTTATAGGCCAGAGAGGTTAGTGTTGAATGTCTTCTTTCCTCTCCACTTTATTTACTTATTTGTTTGTTTATATAGCTTCTCTATGTAGCCCTGGCTTTCCTGGAACTTTCTGTGTAGATCATGCTGGCATGGCTTTCCCAGCAGATCCACTTTGTGTTTTGAGACAGGGTCACTCACTATACATGTAGCTCACTGGTTACACTAGACAAGCTGGTGGTGAGTCCCCAGGGATCTTCCTATTTCTGCCACCCCAGTGCTGAGATTACTGACATTTTACCTGAGCTCTGGGGCTCAAACTCAGGTCCTCATACTTGAGCACTTTGCTGACAGAGCCATCTCTTCAACCCAGCAGCCTAACGCAATTTTATATAAACATCTTGGTGCTAAACCATAGGTCAGATGGTGCTAGTCTCTTGTGAATTTTCACCAGCCTATACAATAAGGAAAACGAGGACTTTATAGTGTTTGTCATAAAACTAAATTCATATGGCCTATCAGATATTTCCCTATATTTTTCAGTGCTAAATTGTCTCTTATAAAATGGCATCAATAAGATTTTTTTATATTTTGCAATTTAAAAAACTTGTAATCTGTTTTCCTTAAAATATTTCAAAATATTACTAGTTTGAGTTCCTAAAGACTTTAGAGTACCTCAGAAATGTAGTAACTCTCAGAAATGAGATTCTTTGGAAGACAAATCTGTAGAGGCTCTGAAACCTGTAAAGCTAGATGAGACTCAGTCTAGAAAGATATGCCCTTTGTGGTATGTAATACTCTGCAGCTTCTAGGGTATCACTGTTAAACATGTTCATACTTCTGAGCAAACAAGAGTGTTTATGCCAGACAGGCAAATGAAGGCCTCAGAACAGTTGAGGTCAAGTTTTACTATCAACTAAGTTCTGATGAAATATATGGGGGAGGAGCAGGGATTAAACTTTTAAAGTTTTTGGGATGTTCAAGAGTTTCCTATAAGAGATTATAGGTGGGGGCTGTCAAGATGGCTTAGCAGTTAAGAACACTGGCTGCTCTTCCAGAGGACCTTGGTTCAATTCCCAGTAGCCACATGGCAGCTCACAACTGTCTGTAACTGTATCCAGTTCCAGGGGATCTGACACCCTTATATAGACATACATGCAAGCTAAACACCAATGAACATAAAATAAGAATAAATAAATTATTGAAATGTTTTTAAAGAGATTATAGGTATTCTGAAAGTATTGGGAAGTATCTAATTGAATACAGCTTTGAATGTTCATGGTAAAGGATATTGTGCATTGTATTTAATTTATACATACTAATGGGTAATGTGAATGTGTTCCTTCCAACTACCTCAATACTCTTACCAAATAGCATTTTTCCTCAGTTCCTATTCCCTGACCATTTGCAATATTTGAAAAAAAATTAGTTTTCATAGCTTTTCTGAAATTAAATGGGTAGTAATTAAGAGTATGGGCTTATCAGGTGAGGTGATAACATGCAATTAATTCCAGATGCCCAGGAGGCTGAGGCAAGAGCATGGCAAGTTTTCGGCCAACCTGGACAACTTAGCAAGACCCTGTCCAAAAAACAAAACAAGCCAGGTATGGTGTCTCAAAAACCAAAACAAGCCAGGTATGGTAGTACATGCTTTTAATTCCTGCACTTGGGAGGCAAGGTAGGCAGTTCTCATTCAAGACCAGCCTGGTCTACATAGGTCCAGACTAGCCAACATTGACATAGTGAGACTCTGTCTTACAATTGCTCCATGGTAGGACATTTGCTTTCAACATTGGCTTCAGGAAAGAAAGATCTAAACTGAAGTTAGGCTTTGGACCTTCCACAGTTGAATTAGTATCTCAGGCCAGATTGACTGGAAGAAGAGCCTGTGAAAGGAGCCATCAAGTACTTGGAAGAGCTATAACTTTATCCTTGTTCTGTCTCCTAGATTTTGAGTGGTTCACATGGTTATTTTCTACATACTAAGTTATTGGGAGGGGGCTTCTCTTATTCTAAAAGATCAAGTGCAGTGGTTTTAAACGTTCCTAATGCTTTCGACCCTTTAGTACACTTACTCATGTTATGGTGAACCCCCAACCATAAAATTATTTCGTTGTTACTTCATAACTGAAATTTTGATGAATCATAATGTAAATATTTGATATGTGACCCAAAGTGGTCAAAACCCACAGGTTGAGAACTGCTGACCTAGGGGAACTTGCCTTAAATGCTTTCTCATTTCATGGTGACAATAGTTCTGTTTTTACAATTTACATAGTCCAAGGTTCCTAAGCAGTTTTGCCAAAGGTCCTGAGGTGTAGTGCATATTTCACCACTGAAGACTTCCCTCTCGAAAACCTGCATTCTTGAATACAGCACAGGGAAGCGCCCTTCTCCTTCCCAGAGAGCAATTCTGCCCTGACCTTGGCTTCCTGAACAAGATTTCTTCAATAGTTAACTTTGAAATTTTGTCTTTCTTGAAATATGGTTCTTCTGAGGGAACATATTATATGTGTGTGTGTGGTCTATGTTACTGTCTCATTATAATACATCTAGGCTCTCTTCTCCCCTCTTAGTTATAACAATTCTTTTTTATTTTTCTCAAAATTGTATCAAATACAGTGGTCATTTGGTTGGTCTTGTCAGTGTAGAATTTTGAATTCAGATGATTTCACTATGGTAACTTTTATGTCTGGCCTTCAGCTCATAAGGAGAAGATCATAACCACTAATGCCATTGAATGCCTTTAATCCCACTTGAGAGGAACTCCCTGGCCTCATCCCCTCCTCAAGGTGATGTTCTTACTGTTGTCATGTGGTAAGTCAGCACCTAAATTTTGGATGAGCTACATTCACATCATAACAAGAATAAATTAATAGATAAAATAAATGACTAAATTAATAATATTAGGAAGTATTTGGTAAATTGAACGAGACTTCTTAGCTGTGTATTCCATGAATATGTATGTGCACATGTAATCATATATGTGCACATGCAGAGGCTAAAGGTCAACATTAGGTATCCTCAGTTGCTGTCTACCTTATGTTTTTTTTTTTATTTTTTTTGGGGGGGGGTGGTTCAAGGCAGGGTTTCTCTGTGACTTTGGAGGCTGTCCTGGAACTAGGTCTTCTAGACCAGGCTGGTCTTGAACTCACAGAGATCCGCCTGCCTCTTCCTCCCTAGTGCTGGGATTAAAGGCGTGCACCACCACCGCCCGGCTCCACCTTATTTATTGAGACAGCATCTCTCACTGAACCTGGAGCTCTTTGATTTCTCAAGGCTGGCTTGCCAGCAAGCCCCAAAGATCCTCTTGTTTCTACTGCCCCATCCCTGGCATAGGTACATACCAGTGCATCTGGCTTTTTTTATAGGTGGTAGGGATTGAATTCAGGTTATTGCTTACATAGCAAGTACTATACCCACTGAGCCATCTCTCCAGCACTTAGCTATGAGATTTTGTTTCAGATCTTTCCTTAGACTAGTGTTTAAAGAATATCAATTTGAGAATTATAGAAATTAGACTGATTAGAATTTCTATTCCACATAGAATTTTGCCACTGTATTAAAGGAATGCCCTCTAGTCCTCTTTAGTTTATTAAAATGATCTGTTGCAAATTAAAAAGTAAAAATGAAAGTGTTGTCTTAGACCTGACAAAGCAGAATTGGGAGGGGGTTATGGAAATGCTTTCAGGTAATAGTTCCTAACTGAAGCTGTGTTTTCTTGATGTGCTTACTTGATGCTTTTCAAATTCTATATGTTTTGTGTTCTTGGCCCTGGTCCAGGGACAAAGTTGCTACATTAAGCTTAGGATGATGATTCTTCCTAGAGGGTCTACATCAGTCTGTCAGTGTGGGGCACTTTAGAGATCTATAATACAATGGAGTGTAACATCAGCAAAGAGGTTGTGTTTCATTTACATTGTCTTTCTAATCTGGGGGTCTTCACTTTAATTTAAAAGTTGCCTCTGTAATTCTTCTTTGTTTTTTGTTACATATTACTCTTAGGAATCACAAAAGTGATTATTTTGTTTCTTGACTTTGTCATCTTCTAGTAATTCTTTGTTTGGGGATGTTGTGGTTTTGTTTTGATTTGATCTGGGGTGAGCAGTGAGCATATTGCTGTATAGACCAAGATAATCTGAAATTGGCCATCCTTCTGCCTCATTTTCTCTGGTGCTAGGATTACATTCTTGTACCTCCACAGATATCTTAACTAATAAGGTTTTGAAAGTTGTGGCTTTTGTTTGGTTGTTTGGTTTGTTTTGGGTTTTATTCTTGTTTCTCAAGACAGGGTTTACCTGTATAGCCCTAGCTGTCCTGGAATTGATCTGTAGCCCAGGCTGGCCTTGAACTCAGACATCTTCCTGGTTCTGCCTCCCAGGTGCTGGAATTGAAGGCGTGTGCCATCACCACTAGTGGAAAGTTGTTGTGTTTTATTTTTATTTTTTCTTTAGTAGTACAGATTGAACTCAGGGCCTTTCACATGACAGATAAGGCTCTATTACTAAACTATTCCCAGTCCCCTTTATACTTAAAAAATTGAGACAGCATCTCACTCAGTCTGATCTTGATGTCACTATAGTCCAGGCAGGCCTTGACTTTCTAATTCCCCTGTCTCAGCTTCTTTAATAGCTGGGATTATAGGCCAGTATCAAAGGCCTGTCTTTGTCATCTGGTAATTACAGGAGTTTCCTGTGTTTTTGACAAGCACAATAACTGTGTGTTTATAAATGCTGCCTTGCATTAGGTGGGGAGTATTTGAGTATTTATGTCTTGTGGTCAGAATAGGAAGGCCTAACAGGATAATTCCCTGCTTGTTTTCTGCTAAAGTCTAAGCAACCTCTATTTCATAAAAATGGAAATATGGAAGATAAAATCATTCTAATTAGAGGGTATCTGGGACTTGGTTTTTCAATCTCTGCATATATATTCTTCTGATCCTCTCCACCCTATAGAAAATAGCCCCCACTTCTGCTCTTGTCTTGTCTGGGCCCCCACCAAATGATGAGTTTGTATACTTAATAAAGGAAGGCTTTGTGTTAATATGATGAGAGAGAATAAACATACTTGAAGTAAAATATGGCACATAAAAACAAGTTATACATAAAAGGCTTATGAAGGGGGCTGGAGAGATGGCCCAGAGGTTAAGCGCACTGACTGCTCTTCCAGAGGTCCTGAGTTCAATTCCCAGAAACCACATGGTGGCTCACAACCATCTACAATTCAATCTGGTGCCCTCTTCTGGCATGTAGGCAGAACACTGTATATGTAATAAATAAATAAATTTTTAAAAAAAGGCTTATGAAGTTGTGTGTTACTGTTTGTTTGAGACAGTGTCTCATTTTGTAGAATGGGCTAGCTTCAAACTCATAATCCTCCTGTCTCTACAGTGCTGGGATAACTGTGTAAGCCATCACACCAGGCTGTAAATGTTATTTTTGTTTTCTTTTAGTACTACAGATTGAACCCTATGTATGTAGTATGTGTCTGATTCTATCACCCAAGAAAATGAAGCAGGTGAATTTCAAGTTTGAGGCCAGCTTGGGCTACGTAGTGAGATCCTGTCTTTAAAAAAAAAATGTGTGTGTGTCCATGCAAGCATATGTATAGGTATGACCCTGCAAATAATTAGGAGAAACCAAAAGATAACCAGGGAGCTGGAGTGTAGCAGCACCACTGCCACAGATTAGTGTGTTTCACGTGACTCTGTAGTAGATGATTTCTCTTTACGTGTTCTTGTTCTGATTCACTGCTCCCCATGCCACCATCTGTTACTAGTACAAATTCCAGGCATTTGGACTTTAGATCATGGGAACATCTCAGCTATTCAAAACTAACAGGTGGGCCAGGCATGGTGGTACACACCTTTAGTCCTACCCTGTCTAAATGGTGATTTTCTGGCTAGTCAGTATCACCACCACCACCACCACCAAATAGAAGCAGCAGCAGCTTCTGCTTTCCCAGGACCTAGACTATCCTTTATTTCTTCTTTCTCCAGCCTCTTGCTGTCACTTAACATGCACTGACCTTACCAGTGTGAAGATAGTTTCTGCCAACCTCTTAACCCTCTACATCCCACAGTCTTGCTGCTCTCTTTGGCAGCTGTCTCTCAGTGTCACCTGCAGTTTTTTGCTCCACCATTTGGCCTTGCCCCTTCTTTCTCTGAGTGGAGACGGCTCTCACTTAAGCATCCTCCATGCTCCTGCCTTCTATACACACTCCTTAGCTGCTTCTTATTCAACCTTTCAGCGGTCTTCAATATCCATAGGCTCTTGACTGGGCATATCTTACGGCTGCTGTAACAAAATTACTATAAACTGGTGCCTTAAAACTGATTCTGAGGCCTACAATCCCTCAGTAGCTCCAGGGAAGGTTCTGTTCTTGACTCTTCTAGCTTCTGTGGTCCCTCTTTGAAGGGGAATCACTCTGGCCTCTGCCACCCTAGTCATAATACCTCTTTTGTCCTGCCAGTCTACAGTCACCCCCTCCTTGTGTTTCTTCTATAGGAACACTTAATAGAATTCACTTGGATAATTCTAGATGATCTCTTTGTCTTGGGGACCTTCATTTAGTTACATCTACAAAGTCCCCCTTTTTTTTTATTTTTTATGAAACAGGGTTTCTCTGTGACTTTGGAGGCTGTCCTGGAACTCGCTCTGTAGACCAGACTGGCCTTGAACTCACAGAGATCTGCATGTACCACTACCACCTGACCAAAGTCCCTTTCTCAAAATAAGATAGTATTTACTGATTCTAGATTAGGATGTGGGCTTACTTTTGCGAGCCTTTCACTTACCCTAGTGCACTGAAATTATCTGGTCTCAGCTCTCAGCTGCTTCTGAGCCTCATTTTCATGTTATCTTCCTCTGCCTGATTCTGTCAAGTGCTGGCGTACATCTGAGCCTAGGTCCTTTTTCCAACTTTGCTCTTTCTCTTTAGATAATGTCTTTAATTGCCATTTATATAAATGACTACTCTACCTGACTGTGTTTAGACAGACTTCTATTCTTGCTGCATATAGCCAGGCCACATAACATCAGCACTGAAGTGGTTTAGAGGCATTACAGATTTAACAAGTCCACGGTAGAACTCATCATATTTCTTAGCTGTCCCCACCCCATCGCCACCTAAGAAAGGTTTGTTCTTCCCAGAGTTCTATAGCCAGTGAATGGCTACTATCCACCTGAGTCTTTGGAGTTCCCTCACCCCAACTTCCCACTCCCAGTTCAACACAGAAAACAGCCTCAGATAGTTTGGAGATTTGCTGCTTCTCCTTTTGCTGCCAAGCAGCACCAGAGTTAGAGTGTTAGCAGTCTTTTGGGTCTCATCCTGTGCTCTCAGCTCTAATCTAGTTCCCAAATAGCAAAACAGAATTTGAGCCATTTTACTTTGTGGCTGAGAATTCCTTATACTTTTTTTGGTTTTAAGATAAAGCCCTAGGCCGGGCGTTGGTGGCGCACGCCTTTAATCCCAGCACTCGGGAGGCAGAGGCAGGCGGATCTCTGAGTTCGAGGCCAGCCTGGTCTACAGAGCGAGTTCCAGGACAGCCTCCAAAGCCACAGAGAAACCCTGTCTTGAAAAACCAAAAAAAAAAAAAAAAAAAAAAAAAAGATAAAGCCCTAGATATTTCTTGTGGTCTCAGATCCTGTAAGCTCTGGCCATGTTCACCTTTTCATCTCGTCTCTTTCTTCCCATCCTCCTTCTGTGTGCAGTTATCTTTGAGTTCCCAAAACTACTCCTCTTGAGAGAATGTAAGCATCATTACGGTGGGAACTGTGTACATTGCCAAGACAGGGAATAGTCTAAATAGACACATA